TCAGTAACAAACAAACAAAAAGCTTTTTTTTTTCAAGTGGATAAATTTACCTGAATTTTGACGGCAGCGGAGTTCTGCTGCTTCTGTAGCAAGCGACGATTTCGCTCCATTCTAGTCTGCTCCAGAAGCTTCCGAGCATCTCTCTCCTTGGTGCTCCGGCCACCTAAATCGACTCGCTTCCGAGTCGACGGATCGCCGGAGAAAAACATGATCTTCGAGCTACCCTAGGATGGCCAATACACGATTCACCCTCCGAGAACCGAAACTTTCAGCTTCCGATGGAGCCGAAGAAGCTAGAAATGTGATCGGCGGTTTGCCCTAGAACTGGGAGTTAACAGAGCGAGGAGACGGATTTGGATTCTTCCAGGTCAAAATAAGATCACGAATTTTGGATGATCGCGTTCAAAGAGCAATCGAACAGAGAGTTTTCTGGCGCTTAGCAAAGAAAATAACATACCCGGAGAGAATTAGTAGCTTCAGCTTCGCAAGCCGACTTGCCTGAATTATTAAAAAAAAAAGAAAAAAAAAAACTCTCAAAGAAAGAAGAAAACTTGGGCACTAATACGACGACGGTTTAGAATCTTTAATACGGAAAGAATATATGGGTCGGGTCATGTCGTGTTTCACGGGGAAAAAAAGGTTTAGAAACAAATAATTACGGGGAAAACTGAAAAGTCTTTTTGATAGAAAAAACATTTGTGGATTCGTTATGGAATTTTAATTATTTTTTCTGTCAAATAATTTTATTGATATTATAAAATTACAAAATCAGTATACAAAACTTCCGAAAATAAATTATTATATAAACAATTTATGCGCCATACAATTTTAATTTAAATATTAAGAAAGAAAAAAAAAATCTGTAAGAACGGGCCTTAGGTGACTTGTCATAGTTATTTGATAAAAAAGAATCGCTGACAACAAAAAGCAAAAAACTAATAAAATATGTTGATTAGGCTGACAACAAATGCTTCTTGCATAGCTACTAAGCTAAGGAACTAACAATTGATTATCTATATTTTGTTACTGGAAAATAATATTGGGTCTAGCTCGATTTGTTACTGGCCATGTATTTTGGGTCATTGAGACTTTTGATAAAACGGGCCGAGATGCATGTTTAATCAAAAAGATTGAAAGTGCAAAACAAATGGCCCAGAAAATGATCTCAGTTATCTGAGTTAAGTTAGTCTCCGACTGGTGACATGTATTTTAAAATTGAGTTAGAGTTGATGTTATAATTAGATATAATTTGCAGTAAAATTATGTAATAAAAATAATAGATTTATGTGGTAAGTGTGTTGTATAAATTTGATCTAACATTTTTGTCCAAATAGATAACTGACTTAACATTTTTGTCCAAATAGATGACTGATAACTTTTCTGATGTATAAATTACAGTACGTACTATTTAATAGAAAAATTAATAAAAATTTGAATAATAAAAGTATGAGTAAAATTGAAAATTAAAATAGATTTAAAGGTTAACTATTATTTATTACAAATTTTAATAAAAAATAAATTAAAGATTTTAATATTACCTTAAAAATACAGCAAATTAAAAAGCATGTATATATAATTATGTGGAAATACTTATTTTTTAAGTTGTGGTATATATTAGTAAAAGTAAACTAATTTAGAATGATTAAAATGATAAATATAGATTAAATAAACTAACAATATATGCTAAACATAATATAGTTAAATAAAACAAGTTAAAAATTATAGACCAAATAAAAAAATATTTAAAGTATAATTGTAACAATAAATACATTATATCATTAGAAAAAATGTTAAAAGCATCAGAATCAACTTACTCGTATATCTTTATATTCAAACAATTAGTGTCAAATAATTAACGTTATTTACAAACAAGGTGGAATCACATGAAAACTGAAAAGGGTTAGAAAAAAAAACGCTAAAGCCAAAAAAAGTGGGGAAAAGGAGAACAATAATACGAAGAAGAAGAAGAGAAGAATGTTGGAACTTAAATTTTTGCAATTGTGAATTTTTTGAAATTATTGTAATGAGTACTAATAGATAGTATAATTACTTGGCAAAATCGAAGTTAATTTGAATAAGAAATAAATGGTCAAAGTAGATATGTAATCAAGACTAAAAGTCAAGATGTGTATTTGTTATATATTGGAAGTATGAGAGATATTATGCAAACCCATAAAAGAATTTCTTTTTTAGAATAAATCTTTATTGACTTATTTAATAAAATTGTCAATATTCCATTTATAATTTTGTATAATATCGATAAATCTTTATTGATTGAGTCGAATTATTTTACGGAATATTTCTATTTCTCTTATCCAAACTTATTGATTGAGTCCAATTATCATTTATGAGTGAGCCATGTTAAGTTGTTAGCCATTCTTAGTATAAAGTTTGAACATCTTGTCCCATCCTTCTTCTTCATGTCCCTACCATTTATATATAGTCGTTTATGTATGTATGTATCTCTATTGGTTGTTCAATGATCACCGTGATTCGTAAGAACAATGCTTTTTTTTTTTGAATGAAGAACAAGTGCTTTTAAACCATAAAAGAACCACATACTGTATATCTCATCATCGATTATTGGATGACTTACTGACCGATTCCGTAGGAACTTCAATTCATATCAAAAGCGAAGCGATGATTCGTTTGTTAATCAAGGAAAAGCTATTGTGTATATGTAGGATTAGGGTTTTGGCGAAGATATACATAGCATATGGTACGTTTAGTTTTAGCGTTAGGTAAGGAGACTGATTCATGAATATTTTTATACAGATTTTATTGCATGTTTCGTTTCATGGTTTTACTTCAATTAACTGATGTTTTGTAGTAAGAACTATGTAATTAATGTTAAATGTATTTGACAACAAAAAAAAGTTAAATGTATTTTTAATAATACTTTTTTTTTTAAAGGATACGTACAGTATGTGTAGAAAGAAGAACATAAGTATTTTTTATATCTACAAAAAATTCCAAAGCTTTTTAATGCTAAGCTTGGCACCGTTACGAATAAAGGAGGTAAATATGTTGCAAAATGCAAACCCCTTTTTTAAAAAAAAGTTCAGTTGTCCACTTGCAGACACAATCATTTCGTGGTAGAACGTACCACCACCATAACATCAATTATATGGATATTATAAGAATCAAAATAAAAATGCCCAGTTTTTTTTTTCCTGTAAAGTCTCTTTAATTGATATTAAAAGTCCAAGATGACAATGATTAAAACAAAAAATTGGCATTGATATTGGGAATTGATTTTGACCAAAGACTCTTCGTATAATTAATCTTTCCACCGTCCACCAATACCATAATTAAAGGGGCCGCTGACAAAATAGAAGCCAGTGAATTTTAGATGCAGAGGAAACTTTTACGATCTGAACAGGCACGTAGTAGTTTTAGCATAAGTTGTTTGTAAACTTTTTTTTTATTCCGATTTGTAAATAACTTACTACAATTCAAATATAACAATCCTCCCTATGCATTTACATGTTTAACTTGTGATCAATGACCAATTTTTTTTTCTATATCAATATCATGATGTATTTGACATTTTCTAAGACTGTTGTGTAACTGATGTCTGCTCTACTTCCAGAACCTTCAAATAAATTATTTTGAACCCAAAAAAAACTGCTAAATGATACTTGAAATAACGGCTGATTAATAGTAGAACACATAATTAAAATAATTTGTCAAAAACATATCTACATATAACCATATAGGCATATATAACTTCCCCGCTCTCATGCATGAAACAACTTTATTGTTGTTTACTCCATATTAATAGTTGTAAATAATATAGATTAATATGGAATGCTGTATATCTATTTACGTATGGTTTTACAGCCAAACAAATTCTTAAACACAACCCTAATATAAAGGAATTGAGAAGGATCAACTCGTAAACGTAATCATAAAAAATACTAGTGAAAAAATTAACATTTTACTAGCCCTAACTCGAATTATACTCTCCAAGGAAGAAAAAACAAATTTTAGTAACCGGGCAAATAACGATGGTGGGTTGGCACATGCAGCCATCATGTGACACTTCTCTTATGTCCGTGTTCTAATATTTCTATCATATATATTAGCCCAACTTTTATAATCAAATAATCTCCAAGAAGAAACGTCCATTATTTTTTTAATCAAATCATTAGATGACAAAATTATAAATTACAAAAAATAATTTTTGAATTCGATATATATGTTTTATATCATTTTAATGGAAAATAAGTTATATATACATATGTCATGATTGCAGGTTTTAAAATTCAAATCTGGAATCTGAAACTGATGCTATCTCAAATCGCCTATATAGATCAAACTATACGTACATATACTAGTGGGATTATTATTATACAGGGAAGGTGATTTGACATGAAAGCTACCAACAAATCAACTGTAAATTTTGTTACTTCAAAACGAGATATAAATGCATAATTATGATATATATGAGAGTATAGACTGATCATAAGTCCTCACATGACATGTAATTATGAGGAATGGCAAAAAGAGAAGAGAACAGAATAAGCAACATTTATTCTCGTATGCAACACAAAAGGGTAACACAGCTTTTCCTCTCTTGTCAATAAAACTTACCCATTTCTCTCTATTTTACCTCTAATTATCAAACTGATAATAATTACACGTGAATCTTTTTGCAAGTTTTATGGAATTTGTTATTTGCTTGCCGTATCAAAACTAAACACCGTTAAAACTAAAAACACAACTAAATATTAAGTTTAGGATTGGTAAGTAAAAATATTACTAGTACAGAAGGTGAGAAACATAGTCACGAGTTAGAGAAAGAAAGAGAGAGAGAGAAGAGATAGGGGACAATAAATGATTCTGAGGGAATATTTAATAAGAGAGTTCTCTGGTTTGGCTTTGGCCTTTGGGGGTCAGTCAGACCCAAACAAACACAACACATAAAACAAAAGTAAATTCCTGTCCGAAGCCACAAAAGAGAGAGAGTAAAGGCATAATTCTTTTTGCCCGTATCCTTATTCATTGCCTTTTGCCAGTCCCCTTGATAGCGAGACATTTTTCACCTCTTTTAATTTTATTACAACAATATAAACCAGCACCAAACAAATTCAACTTCTTTATTTCAAATTTATATCAACCTTACATCAATGACCAACAACAAGATGTAAGGATTAGCTCAGGAGGGATAGACAAGGTAGGAGAAGAAGACTCAGACTAACTAAGGACAGATATACATACATATTGTATATCAAGAAAACATAAGAAAAAAATTGTAAAACAATAGAAAATGGAGACACTTAAAAAAAGATGGGGTCTTACAAGGTCAAGAAAAGGCCTTACAAGGTCAAGAAAATAGAATAATTCAATGGGATAATTGAAGTTTTCAAAAAAAAAAAAACAAAAAAAAAAAAATTTAGTAAGCTCAGGTAGGGATAACACCAGACTATCAATGAAATTGAATATTGGAAGAGAAACTTAATGTCTCAGCACAAGGAACCCAATAATCTCTATGCATCATGATGTTTTCGTTATTGCCTGCGAACACACATACAAAAAGCAAGAAATTATTACTCTTTACAATTGTAAATGTATATTATGTTATTTCCAAATAGCTTCAAAAGTTCAGACTATCTCTATACCTACCAATTGAAATACATATATTTATAAAGCTAGTTTATGCACATTTGAATACATATATGAGACTATACACATATGGTCAATTGTTCATGATATAGCATGTGTTAGGCTGTGCATATAGATACTTTTGATACACATGTGTCAAGAAACGTATGAAGATACACTCCTTAATTCGAAAGAAGCGAAAGTGTGTGGATATAAATACATATAAAGATATGCATGTATACATAAATAATGACTATATATACGCCTACATCACATATATATAGATACCCACATATATGTATTATATGATTCAGTATTTATATATATATCCTTGTTTATATGTTGTACATCGTTAAGACATCATGACTCTTCACATTACATATGTGATATATCATCACCTGCACATACATATGTTATTATATATATATATGTATATACCTTGAAGAAACTCCTGCCTTGCTTTTTTCATCCATGAGAGCTCTTCTTTCTCTTCCATTTCAGAGAGGTAAGGAGAGAGAGAGAGAGAGAGAGAGAGAGAGAGAGACTTGAGATGCGGTGAGATGATGAAGAAGGTATCAAGTGAAGGAGTTATTTTAAGGCGAAGTTATAGAAATAAGTAAAGGATAATAGATAAATAACCTTTGCACACAGAAAAGAAGAAGATAATAACCGTCGTGGGCCGGGGCCCAATTGGTCCTTTGCGAGGGATCTGTTGTCATTAATGGTTCGAAACGAGCTACGTATTTAGGTGAGCCTGATGACGTAATCGTTACGATATTCATAAACCAACCTGCCCGAACACCTGACCGTTCTGCCCAGAGGTGGTCCTCTTCACTTCTCTGGCTTAGCAGTTTCTTTGGTCTCAAGCGAAACAAAAGTCAACAGGTCAGATTTTAACTCGAAGCTGTGCCTCATTTTACTCTTCTTTTCTTTGTCATCAGTTTCTACTTATTCTTTTATTTGGTTTTCTCTTGTTAAATGTATTTTTCATAAAACTATATGTTTAATTTATATGATTGATTAATGGTAACATTTTTTTATAGTACAATATATAGCTGGACTAGGCTTCCTAGCTAAACATAATTATTCACTAATTGGTGGAAACTGAGTTTGAGCATTTTAAGAGAATCTTGGTAAGTGGAATTCCTCAATTCTAGGGGAAAACGCTAAAGTTCAAATTTCAAAATATATCATGTTTACATACAATAAATATTTTTTCAAAACAAATGATGATGTGATTTTGTTTCTATTTTTCAAGTTTGTAAATTTCCTAGGATCAAATATAGAAAGAACTTTGTAATAGGTTTTTTCTTCTGTTGTGTTTCTTTTTTACTTTTTTCTGAAGTTAGGAATAGTTTTTCTTATTCAAAAGATTATCCATTTTCTATAAAAATGAAAGTAAGCCAAGGAAGATCGAATCATTAGTAAAAGAGTGAACATATTTCAAAATTAAGTAATCAAAAGTCTGAGATTTGTGGGGAATAGAAACTATTGTGGGCGTGCGGGAGAATCACAGTCTCCTAAGACATAAAATGGTCAAAATAATGCAATAAATAGTAATATCAATACTTATAAGTATTAATAACATTATTATAACAACTGATGAGTGATGACGCCAAAAAGAATCCATTGACCTGCGTTCCCAAATTAATTAATATTTCGTTTAATGAGTTTATATTACTACTCTTTACGTATTCGTTTTATGGTCTTCACGCTTTAGTAAAAGACATTTCAATTGCCATCTTAAAAACGACAAACAAAAAATTGGTATCTTAAAAAAAAAAAAACATTTTGAGGTAAATACAAAACTAGAACAAGGCTCTTAATTTCTCAAAAGGGGACCCCTACAATTATGACGAGTAAGAATGATAGTAATGGATTTTTGTTTCGTTTATTTTTTGCCCATATCAACCCGTCCGTTCCTCTTCTGTCCCTTCTCTTTGTACTATGTTCAGAGATAATTCGATTTATGCCCAACATTTTCGTTATTTTAGTTTCCACCTCATAACATAACAATACTTTAACTGCTAGGGAAAAACTGTGATGTAACAACAAGTAATAAAGTAAAGAAACATCATAGTTTAGTATAGCAGTTTCGAAGAAATGTTCTGAATATTCAGTATTTTAAGTTTTTTTTTTGGGGGATCAAAGTTCAGTATTGAAAGTTTAACCTACGGATTTTATATACAGTATTTCAGTATTATACGGACTCTTAATTAAATATAAAACACACATATTTTTGCAGCCGTGTAACTAATTAACTGATTTAGTAGTAATTAATTTTTAGTTGGCCTATTATCAGCCCAGTTTAAAGTAACGTTCGATATCGAAACTTTCTGTTTATGATAACAGAGTTGGCCCATTGAAAAGCTTCAGCTCCGTTTATAATACTTTGTAGGTCTAGTTGTTTTTTTTTTTTTCGAACATATTCCTTTTAGCTCCGTTTATTATATTGTGTTTATGTATATCTCTCCACTTAGAAAGTAATGTACTTGCAACAATATAATCTCTCTTGATCCAACCAGAGTAGTTTGTGTGTTCAGCTGTGACTTTGTAATACAATAGCATATTAAAAATAATCATTAGTTGTGTACAGTATATATATTGTTCACCAAAACATGAGGCTAAGCCTCGTTGTGAAGTTGTAAGATGTAGAACCTCATTATTGACTTTGGTTCTTAGTTAGTGAGTTAGTACCAATCACATGATAATCACTAGTGGAGCTAAACACTTGGCACATCACCGCCATCTCAAATGATCTAGAAACCCGAATTCATAAAAGCACTATAGTATTCGAACAAATAGGAATTAGTTTTCTTTTAATTTTTATAATCAAAATAAAATTTATAAATCGATGTTATTAGGGCTTTTATAGTTGCAACTAAGGATTAACGACGTCTAATAGTTTATTTTTGTCTAAACGGTTTGTAACGTCTAATAGTTATTCACGTAAAGTTTATTTTATCTAAAATCTAACAATAAGAAATCGGAAATTAACAACATTACTTTTTGTGGTGTTTAAAATATGATTGAACTTCATCAAACTTAATTTGTAGTCAAAAGAAACAGAAAAACGAAACTCTAGACGACATTCAATTATCTCTACTTGTGATCATACCACAAAATTAAAATTATATAATGAGTTATTAAACGAATTCTTCACAACTCAGAGGAGCACATTCAGCTTCTTCCATTCATTACAAATTTACAATCTTGACATAAAATAAAATAAGAATTGTAAAAACTTATCCTTAGCATTTGTGGCCACATACTCTACTTTCCACATTCAACCAACATTCACTATAAATCACCATTCACTATATATATACACTCCAGGCTAGACAAAGGCAAAACCAAGACAACCAAAACCTGAGATGGATATGACTCCTCCGAGAAGAAAACTATATTATCTGCTAACCTTCTCATTATTATTGTTATCATTACGTCATCAAGATTACAACATTGAAGCACAAAGTTCAGACAAAGTAGTAAATCTTCCCGAACAACCATCGAATCCAGAGATATCTCACTTCTCAGGTTATGTGAGCGTGAATCAAGAAAATACACGATCACTCTTCTTCTGGTTCTTTGAAGCCTTGTCTGAAGCTCCTTCAACAAGACCTCTAGTTCTCTGGCTCAATGGAGGTAAAAATTACACCTCTTATATATATATGTTATTCTCATTTATTCAGTTTTCTTTATGTTTATGTGTCTGTCGCGCAGGTCCTGGATGTTCATCTATTGGATATGGTGCAGCATCTGAATTAGGTCCTTTTCGTGTTGTTGAAAATGGAACAAGCCTTAGATTTAATCAGTACTCTTGGGTCCAAGGTTTTTCTTCTTTTTCTAACTATGTCTAGTTATGATATATTAGCCCGACTACGAAAACTCGCAACAATTTTAAGTTATAACAACCAAATAGCTATGCGAATTCATGAAAACTTGTCGATGAAATTTTCAGAAGCGAATATGTTGTTTTTAGAATCACCGGTTGGAGTAGGGTTTTCGTACACCAACTCATCTTCCGATTTCGACAACCTCAACGACAGCTTCGTTGGTAAGTTAAGGTCTGATATTCAGAATCTGTTATTAATTTGGAAAAGCAATCTAAAATAAATAAATGTGAGAAAATGTTTTGCAACAGCGGAAGATGCATACAACTTCATGCTTGCTTGGCTTGCAAGGTATCCTCAATATAAGTCTCGTGATTTCTTCATCGCTGGTGAAAGCTATGCCGGTGAGCTTGACTGATTACTCTCATGTTTTTTTTTCCTTTCTTCTAGTCGCAATATCTGGATTTAGCTTATCAACTACAACTAGGATATAAGATTAAACAATTACAGAACTTAAGCATGGACTATCTAGGATACTATATGATATGGTATGGGTTTTACATATTACAGGTCACTACGCACCTCAGCTAGCGGAGCTTATATCCGATCGAAACAAAGTTAAACCAAAGGACTCCTTCATTAATCTCAAAGGCTTCATCGTACGTATTAGTGCGACGATATTAAATACGTGCACGAGTAAAGTGTAGCGTTGATCCAATCTGACCGATGTCTTGTGTTTGAAAACAAACTTTTAATCAACACAATTTATTGTAGGATCCGACTGGTGATGATCTAACATTAATCAACAAAATTTGATGTCTTCTTTTCGAAAATAAACTTATCCGACAGGAGATCTAACTTTAATAGAAAATGAATTTAACAACACAATTTCATACTTTATTTTCTTTCAGTGCTGTAATTTTTTGCTTAATACGTTTTTAAAATTTAGCTATGATATCCTCAATTTCATTCTAATGTTTTTTATTTATAAATTATATATATTTATTACATAATTAAGTACCAAGTTTTATATGTGCTAGAAACAATTCGCATTTTCGTTGTGTCTAAACAAATCTATTATAAATTTAATTCAACCTTTTTATTTTGTCAAAAACCAATTTATGCTGAAAGTATCATAATTGATTTTATTTGGGTCAAACTAATTAGGTAGGAAATCCATTAACGGACGACGAGTACGATAACAAAGGGATTCTAGAATACGCATGGAGCCACGCAGTGATCTCCGACAATCTCTACGACACCGCAAAACGTAACTGCGACTTCAAGTCTTCGAATTGGTCGGAGCCCTGCAACGTCGCCATGAACACACTGTTCCAAAAATACAAAGAGATTGATATTTATAACATTTATGCTCCCAAGTGCACCACCAATAGCTCATCAGGAGCTTCCTTCTTAGGTGCCGGAGATTATAAGCCTCCGGCGATCAAAGACTGGTTCAAGAGAGTGAGATGGTGTGAAGGTTACGATCCTTGTTACTCTGATTACGCTGAAAAATATTTTAACAGAGCCGATGTTCGAACGTCTCTTCATGCCACTACACAAGGTGTATCAAGATGGAAAGTTTGCAAGTAAGTTTATAGTGATAGGTCTCGTTTTTTTTTTTTTTCCATATTAGAAAAAGGTTTGAATGTTAAATTTTATTTGTTATTTATTTATTTATTGCGAGTACAGTGAATCGATATTGCAAACGTACCAATTCACGGTCTCCTCAATGTTGCCTACCTATAGTAAGCTCATCAAAGCTGGTCTAAAGATATGGGTTTATAGGTACTCTATATACACTTTATCTATGTTCGTTGGTGTTTAATTTTCATTCAATATTTGTTTTAAATGTATATGTCAATGTCATGGTGGTCATTATGGTTATAGTAGTATAGGTGCCCACTAAAATACAACAAATTTGGCTGTTAATTCAGTGTTTTTATTCCCCCAACTGATTTATCCTCTTATTTATGAAAACGGACCAATTTCAAATATGTTGTAAGGCTAGATGAATCCAAGAAAGTACCCTCGTTGAAACATAATGACATCCACGAGATTCTTGAAGGAACACTAAGAGTTTACATAAAAAAGTATGGTAGGTTTTGTAAAAAAAATGTAGAAGTGTATATGGATGATTCATAGAATGATCAGAATATAACCACGAGTTTCATGAAGTAATTCCACCGTAGCTATAATTTATCCACTAAACTATTATACGTACGTTTCTTTGGATTGACATCTCTATAAAAATATTTATGTTCTCATTTTGGGGGGTTTGGAATTTAAAGCATGAAAATGGATACATGAATGGACTTATTAAAAGTTTCTTAGTGTCTAATAGTGGTGACGCCGACGGGAGAGTGCCGGTGATCGGAAGTCGGTACTGTGTTGAAGCTTTAGGCCTTGCCGTCAAATCGGAGTGGCGTTCTTGGTTCCACAACCATCAGGTAAGGATTTTTTAATGAAAATTTATGATGTACGTACGGTTGATTTCTACATAGCTATTTTTTGTCAACTAAATTTAACACATATATGATTTTTTTTAGCCAAACCAATTTCGAAAAATACTTTTTATTTATCGCGTAAATCATTTGTTTGAGCTATTTATTTATCCAAATATTTCTGTGAAGGTGGGAGGGAGGATAACGGAGTACGATGGAGGGTTGACGTTTGTAACGGTGAGAGGAGCTGGACACTTGGTTCCTCTCAATAAACCTGAAGAATCTCTCGCGCTTTTCCGTTCCTTTCTCAACGGTCAAAAACTTCCATCACGCCCTTAAACATACTCTACTTTTTAAAAGATTAATAAATCAAAGCATGCATAAATAAAAATTCCACTACATAGAGAACATATTAACATGTTACTGTTCTGTTTCTACTATCCAGCCATATTATAATATATGGTTATGAGTTTTAGATATAGTATACTTGTTCTTTCTTTGTTTAAGTAAAAGAAATATGATATCAACTTTTGGAACAGTGAGTTGAAATGATCTTGTCTGAAACTTATATCGGGCGATTTAAGCAATAATAGATAACAATAAGGGTCAAAGTGAAATTTTAGTGGAATAATTCTTATCCAACCCAAATTCTCTGCTCTTTAGCTAAAACCCTCCTTCTTCTTCTCTTCCTCATTCTTCCTGGTGCTTTCTCCAATGGAGTCACTCCTGCATGCGTCTTCGTCGCTGGTATCTCTCAGGCCCAGAACAGACGGCCGAGATTCGTTCATCAACCCGCCGCGCGTGTGTCTCAGTCCTAGTTTCGGCCGCAGAGGATCTAAGTATCTTCCTTTGGTCGCGGCGGCGAAGAAGAAGAAAAGCAAGAAAGATGACAATCACAGCTTTTCCGCTAGACCTGACGAGGCCACTGGTCCATTTCCTGAATCCATCATTCTTAAAGAGGTTCCACTTTCTTAATCTCTCACTTTGCTGATTTCGATTTTGTGGAATCTTAAAATATTGACTCTCAGAGAGGCTCTCTCTGGGTTGTTCCAGTTTCTCTTAGTTAGCTTATGAGAACGAAGATAGTAATGATTGTTTGAAAATTCTGACATTTCTGGTTCAACGTTGATGCTGAAGTTATGTAATTGTTTGTCTTTATTGAATTGGATTTGCAGAAGAAGATCGATGAAGAAGGTGATCTTCTTCCTGAGTTCGCTGATGCTGAAGAAAGTAAGTGATTATGTTTCTGAACTAATGGTATCTATCTACTTGTTGGGTTCGGTTACCTGAATGATTTGGTCTTTAACAAATGTTTCTTTCTTCCAATTTTGCACAGAGGAGCTATATGAGTTTCTGGATCTCCAGCTTCAGAGTGACTTGAATGAAGAAAGGAGTAAGTCCATCTTCTTTAAACCCCGTTTTTGATGTACATTCTTAATGTTTCAACCGGCTTAATGTGCTTACACGTGGTTCTCTGGTTCTCATTAGCCTAGGATCACTCTTGCTCCTGCTAATTATAATGATGATTCATGTAAAATCTCAACTTTCTTATGGCTTAATATGATTCAAATTTCAAAACTTGATGCTTTACTTGTTCGTAGTCAGGTAGAGAGAAAAGTCATGGATTATGTGATCGATGTTATATCACTCCATTAATGAGATGTGTAACCTATGTTTGTGCAGTGAGGCACTATGAAGTCGTTTACTTGATTCATGAAAAACATGCTGAGGAGGTCCAAAGCATCAATGAGAAAGTGCAAGGTGAAAAACATTTCCTTCCTCATGTACATTCGTTCCTATCATGTACGGTGACTGGTGAATAAAAATGTGAATCCAATCTTATATTGTTGATATTCAGAATTCATGAAGGAGAAGAAGGGGAAAGTTTGGAGGTTTAGTGACTGGGGAATGCGTAGACTGGCATATAAAATACAGAAAGCTGAGAATGCACACTATATACTGATGAACTTTGAGATGGAAGCCAAATACCTAAACGAATTCAAGGGATTGTTAGATGCTGATGAAAGGGTGATTAGGCATCTCGTGATGAAACGTGATGAGGCCATTACAGAGGACTGCCCTCCACCTCCCGAGTTTCACTCTGTTCGGGCAAGTATGAACGACGATGACTTCAGTGATGAGGAAGATGAAGACGACGAGGAAGATGGTGATAATATAGAGTATGAAGTAGATGATGATGGTAATGTTGTTATGGTGCTGTATGAAGATGAAGAAGAAGCTGAAGAAGAAGGACAAGACCAAGCAAATAACGCCACAAGAGAAAACCGGAGAACAGTTAACGTAGGAGGTTAAGAGCTGTTTGTAGATTTTTGGGTCATGTTTTGGATCATAAGGTCACATTTGTTTATTTTTACTCATAATAGCATCGTTGAAGTACGAAAAGATGAAACCTCAATCCTTAAAAATAGCATAGTAATATAAAATCATTGAACGCTTAAACTTGTTTGAAGCTGTCTCAGGGAACATAAAAGAAACAACAATCCATAATAAGCTCAAAAGCAACCACTACCACTAAATTAGAAACAACATCAAATGATTCAAATATTGTGAAGTTTTGAATCAAGATCCGAATTTCATTCCCCGGACTGAGATCAGCTTGAAGTTAAAAAAAAACTAGCGTTTAGAGGGCCTAAGGTCATCACCGGCAACAGCTCCTTGCTCATCGTGGTCCTTAGCAACCCTCTTCCTCTTGGGGAGAGGCTCAGATTTGCTAGCAGACAAGTTACAGTCCTCATCAGCATCGTCTTCATCATCCTCTTCCTCGATGTCTTCTTCCAGGTCAGTCTCCTCCGGGTTAAAATCGCTTGCGTCCTCCTCCTCTTCACCCTCACCCACCGGCCTCACGAGATACTCTGTCCCAAGATCCTCCTGCACAGGTTTTGAATGTCATATGATCAAACAAAACATCCTCTGTGAGTGACTTGCAGTTACACTTAAAGTAATGTAAGTTCTGACTTTTCCAAATGTTTGTCTTTTCGTTTTCTTAATCCATTGACCCAGAGAACAAATATACTAAAAACCCTAACTTTGATTTCGGGAAAACAGAAGAATAAAAACCGATAAACCCAACTCGGGCTTGAATAGATTTTCAGAACTGGTGTTTATTCGAATCAGATCTAATCTGACTTCGGTGGAAATTGAGACTCATACGGAGATTAAGTGTGTAGATTGACCTAAAGATATGCAGAAGACACTAGATCTATAATCTGCTCAAATCAAATATATAGAGACTAAGCATATTTAACTGAAAACAAAAATATCTATAGAAATTCCAAAAAAAAAAACAAAGAGACTGTACCTCTTCTTCATCGTCCTCGTCGTCGTCATCATCATCTTCATCGTCATCGTCTTCTTCCCCAACGTCGAACTCTTCATCGTCGTCTCCGGTAACTTCCTCTCCTCCTTCGTTTGTTTCTTTCATTTCACCGTCGTCGTCGCTCAGAACCTGAACAGTGGTTTCCTCCTTGAATTCCTTATCATCTTCTACAGGCGCCATCTCACTTTCACAGAGAATTACGTTTCCGGAAGATTTTCTTAGGGAGGAGAAAGACGCCGCGACAGGAAAGAAAGAGAGAGAGCAGAAGCTTCGAACCAGCTTTAGCAGTAGAACCCAATAAATTCAATCTCAGCCGTTTAATCTGAGTTTTTACTAGGATTGATGAGATGGCACTACATCGAACGGTTCGTATGAGAGAATAAGGTGGTTTTGCTGAATAGATGAACCGATTCGCTGAATAAATTAATTAAATAATTAAGATATCATTTTTCCCGAAGAGGCACACGTGCAACATGTGCGAATAGTAAACGTTCAATCTGTTTGGGCCGTAAACTTCATTTTCGTGGGATACATCAAATATAATAGGCCGGATGTAAGGCCCAATATAGCATATATCCTTTTTTATTTACAATACTTCGTCGCAAATGGCGGCCTGGATTGCAATTTTTTTAGGAATAAGATCATGTGAAATTAAAGATTCTATTAAATTACATAAAATTGTTACTAATCACAAGAAAAGAAAATGAAAACTTATTTCACTTATTTTATTCATTTTACAAAAGAAAAAACAATAAATCTTTTTTAAAAAATAATTCATTTCAAAAATGCTAAAAATAAATAGAATTCTATTTTTATTCTATTCTATATTTTTTTATTCCATATAAATCTGCAAAAATTAGAATATAAAGAATAAATAGAATAATTTTTTTTGGAACAAAAAAAATATAGAATAAAATGAAAATAAAATTTCACTGATTCTTTAACATTTTTGAAATGGAATTATTTTTCAAAAAGATTATAACTAGTTATATTTAAAAAAAATGTACCGAATTAATGTAATGATTATAAACGGAATGGAAAGAAATGGGAAGATAAATAATATAGAATGAAAAATAAATTATTAGTATAATAGTGAATTTCATTCACCTCATTTATTTTTTTATATTTAGGATGTCAAACTGAAAAAAAAAAAAAGTTTTAAGAATGATTTATTTTATTTTTTCACTAAAAATTAAATATATGGAATTTTTCTAATAAATTTATTCCACAAAAAAGTATTCCAGTAATTGGTAACAATTTTTTTTCTTTGTGAAATGGATGAAATAAATGAAATATTTTTTTTTTCTTTTCCTATAACTGGTAATAATTTTGTAGAATTTCATGAAATTTCATATGATTTCATTCCTAAAAATAACAAAATTTATTGCAATTTGTTATTACTAATTACAGTCAATATACTTTGATCACCTATTTGCTGAGGGGAAATTCATTATTACCAGTGTATATTCCGGTATGATTTAATTTCGGTTTCGTTGTTCTGATTTTAGGTTAGTTCAGTTTCGTAAATATAAATCATTTTTTTTAAAAAAAACTATATATCTCAGTTAGGTTTTTTATTCATAATTTTTGTTTAAAAACTTATTCCGTTACACCTTTGAACTTATTACAAAAACAAGTCTAGATTATTAATTTTCATAGAAATATCTGATAAAGTCACTACTCATTCCGGCGATATCATGGACGACTTTGTTACGTTCGGTTAACGGTGAACTTCCGGCAAATTGCGCCTGGCACTCATCCGACACCGACACAACGCTTTTCATTTCAGACGCTGCCCGAGAATAGCTCCTAGATTTCAATTTCAAATCCGCCAAAGCTGCCGGTAGGAACATATGAACTGCCGTACGGTACGCCTTGATACAAGCATCGTACTTCGTGGAGTCTTGAGCGTTTGTGACGTTTTTACGAACCGAGATGAGATATTCTAACGTCTCGTTCACTTTCTTTGACGTCGCGTCCACAGAGATCAACGCAAGCTCTTTATGAACAACAAAGAAAAAAAATATTTTAAAAAGGCAAACAAACACTGTTGGATACATAATTACAATCACCATGTCAAACAAGAAAAATCATTCCCTCTTCCTTTTGGTTAACTTTTAAAACAGACGAATAAAACTAAACAATAACAATTAGTATCTCACCAGGGGCACTTGCGTTCTTGCTTCTAGGATCAAGATCGAGAGTCGAGATGCATAGACTTGGATTAATGTTTAGCTTGCAGATTCGTTGTACATTGGTTGGTTCAGTAGTCGTCTGATTTTGTTGAGACAAGGCTATTTGGACTTGGAGGATACACACGACAAAAATAGAGAATAATTTCATGATATTATTCATTTTTATTATTTTGATATTGGGGGAGTATTCTGAAAGCTACACAAAACAAACGTTAGTGAGTGTTGTTTTAATCTGAAGGAGGGTTTTTTTTATAGGGTCAAAGGTTCTTTAGTCTTATTAACTCTTCAGATTGCATACAGATTTTATTTGACCCTTTAAGGCATTAACCTAACTTTCGTTGACCAGTAGACTATAACTGTAATAACAGTATGGCATTAACCCTTTTTCGTTGACCAGGACTGTTTTAGTATTCTTTCTTATTGAATGTGTTTGACTAGCTAGATGAAACATATACGTATGATTAATTATTAGATGGTTATCTACACCATGAGCAAATTGTGTTTCATATGAATTCGGTTTGGATTTCATTTGTTTTTTGCCTAAAGTGACGCGTTTTTTTCCCCAACTTCCACATTAATTTATAAGTTTCGTTGACCAGTAGATTACGAACATTTGCTTATACTGGTTTTATATTCTATCTTGTTAACCGTATTTGAATATGTTTGACTAGCTAGATGAACATACATATGAGTATTACTCCACGAACAAATCGTGTTTGATATGGATTTCGGATTAGTACTCATTATGAAAACTACGAACCGGTTAGATTATGAACCTTAAACCAATATTTTGTTGCAGCTCGTTGTTGCATGTCGTTTGCAAACCGGTAATTACCAATATTCCTAATTTTGTGTGCTATTGTAGTTACACGATATTTCTAATTTCGTTCGTTATGTTTTCACGGTTACCGAAACGGTGTCATGAAGAAAGCAGAGGAGCAAAATCACAAGCGAAGAAGATTAGAGAATTCGGCAACTGGCTACGCGAACGGTTCGCAAAGGCAGAAGAAAAGTCCCACATGTACACTGACTTTAGCATTGCAGCAATGCATTTGAGAGACGGTGAGTGAAGAACACAAAAGCGCCCAGATTGGTTCAGAATGGTTAAATCTTTGCATTTTAGCTTTTCTCTGTTTGTATTTTTCTCTGCGTTGCGTTGCGTTGCGTTGTTCCCATTTCTCATATCTCTTCTTTTGTTGAAAATGTGTTTGAATCAATAGTTTAGCTTCTCGATGCCTACACATTTCCCTCCACTTGCTCGCTTTTTACTTCAACACTAAACATGCCTCTGTTTTTGATTGAGACTTGTCTTGTTTTTATACCTGACAGAGAAGATGAATCTCTTCAGCACACTACCAGACGATGTTCTTTGCCATATCCTGTCTTTCCTTACGACAAAAGAGGCTGCTTCAACATCGGTTCTCTCGACGAGGTGGCGCAAACTGCTCGCGTTTGTCCCTAATCTCGTTCTTGATGGCTATGTGACTCTGCATCGTGTAGAGGGTAAGCGAGAAAGTGACAGGATTCTCCAGAGCTTCGTGGATTTTGTGGACAGAGTGTTGGCTTTGCAAGGGGATTCCCACATCAAGAAATTCTCCCTCACGTGTAGATCTTGTGTTGGTTTCGAATCGTTTGAATCGCTGGATATGTAACGCTCTGCAGCGCGGTGTCTCGGACCTCGAGCTTTTCATCGGCGATGACTAGTATGATGCTTTTCTGTCTCACGAAGCGTTCGTCCGTAGGACTCACTGGTGGCCTGGAGCTAACTGCATTCTCTCACCAATGCTCAAAACTCTAGTCGTTACCCCAAGTTGGATTTTTTCTGACAAACTTGAGACGCTTCTGCTGAATTTCCCTGCGCTCGAGGAACTAGACTTGAGTATGTTTCATTGGGGAGGTTCTGGTGAAACCGTGTCAAGTGCAAGCCTCAAGAAGCTAACCATCCGTGCCAGCAGTTCTCTAGGCTTGCTGAATCCAAAGAGCATTTCTTTTGATACTCCGAGTGTGGTTTACTTTAACTATTCTGATTTTGTTGCGGAAGACTATCCGAAGCTTAACTTGGCAAATGTAGTTGAGGCTCGGCTCAACCTTATGGCACATGAATGCCAAATCAAGCTTATACGAGGGTTGAACTATGAAGGGTATGATAAGGTTCACCCATGTGGAAATGTGTTGAAGCTCATGAGTGCCTTAAGAAATGTTAAGAGACTTACCTTATCTTTTGATACTGTCGAAAAGGCTTAGAGGAACGAAGAGAGAGATGGAAATGATTAAGCATTTTTTGGTGTCTTTCCCTTGCTTAAAGGATATGGAGATATATCCCGAATAAGAGGATGAACTTTCTGAATCTGAAGAAGTACCTAGAGATTTTGAACATGTTGTGAAGACGGTGAAACTCTACAATGAGTTAGTTGTGATGTTCGCCCCTCTGGTTTGTTGTTTAACGAAAAAAAGACTAAGAGAGTTGAGTTTGTGTATGAGACACAGAATCTCTAATTTAGATTACTGTTTATCGGCTAAAACAGATTCCTTGAATTATTATCAGCATAATAATTGGATTATATCAATTTTGGATTAAGCTTAATCGAGAACACATCTCTCGTTATCAATTTTTGATAAGCATAAATTACAACAATAAATCAGAAGTGCAAAACCACTAGAAAATAAAATTACTGGAGCTTGAAGAAGAAGAAGAACTTGATACATAATTTTAATATCTGGGGAAGCAAGATTGGCTTGGGTTTGTTTGATTGACATTCCTAGTTTGAGTTTCAGAGTCTTTTTTGCTCATTTCAATTTGAAGAAGAATTACAAGAACACGAAATCTCTGCCTTTTACTTATTTGCTTTTGTCCGTTTATAATACATTTATTATGAACAAGATCTTGTGGTTCTATCTTCTGGAAATGTTTTTTTGATAAATGGTAGTGTAGATTGAGTTTTTGATATATCATATTTTTCATTGACTTGTTGAAATGAAATATACCTTTCAATTTTAAAAAGAACAATAATAACTTGTGTCATACTCATCAACTTTGATTACGTGTGATGTGAGAATATCTTGACAATTTATTATCTTGTGAAATCTCATTCATATTTTGAAGATATTATTATATGAGAGATTAACGTAAATTTAATCAAATGGTCAAATCTTATTTTTTAATTTTTATTAATTTTTCCCCTTTGAATTTTTGCAACAATCGCAAAGTAAAAAAAAAAAAGGAAAGTAGAAAGAAAGTTAAAATTTTTATTATCTAGTTGGCAAAAGTTTTGATGATGTCACTAGTCACATCGGCGATTTCATGGGTGGCTTTGTTACGTGCGGTCAACGGCAACGGAGAATATCCGGCGAACTGGTCCTCACAAGTATCCGGCACCGTCACAACCTCATTTATGTCAGTCAGCGCCTGAGAATACTTCTTAGCCTTTAGATCCGCCAACACCGCCGGTAGAAACCTACTAATCGCCGCGCCGTACACCTCAATGCAAGTTCCGTACATCTCGTACTCTTCACGGCGTCCAATGCTCTTAAAAACGGAGAGGAGATAATTTTGCGTCTCGTTCACTTTCTTTGTCGTCGCATCGACAGAGATCGACGCAAGCCCTTTTTTATGGAAAACAAATTACAATTAAAATATATAAGGATATATTTATTAGCTAACTTTATATTGTCAAAGTTTTACGTGAATTCATGTTATAATCAAAGTTATTCTCTCACAAAAAAAAAAAAATATTATCTCACCTTGGAGATCTGAGGTTTTGCTTCTAGGATCAAGATTGAGCGTAGAGACGCATAGGCTTTCATGTCGGGTTCTTTTGCAGAGTTGCTGTATAAGATTAGGTCCGGGGGGAGACAGAATTGGTTGAGAATTTTGAGACAATGCTATTTGCATTTGGATAAGCAAGACAAAAATAGCGAATGATTTCATGAAACTATTCATTTTGTTATTTGAGTGGGATCTTTGAGACCTACAAAAACAAGAACGTAAGTGAATCATTTCTGATTATAAGGTTGGCTTTTTATATAGCCAATAGTATGTTGCTGACCACATTAAATGAGTTTCTTTAGTTCTCATAGTGCATACAATATAGACATGGAAATTAAGTTAATATATTGTTTGAATAGCTTGTATTGTTGAAAATTATTAATTGGCTGTAATGTAATTGGATTACAATTTTTAGGAATGAAATTATGTGGATTTGAAGATTCCACGAAATTCCAGAAAATTGTTACCGGTTGCCAAGAAAGAAAGTGAAAAACCATTCTACTTCATTCCAAAAAGAAAAAAAAAATTAAACCACTTCAAAAATTATTAAGGAATTACTAAAATTCTATTTTTATTTCATTCCATATTTTGTTATTCCACAAATATTTATTCCATATATTCCCATTTGTATTACAGCCTTAGGGGGTGTTAGTGGGAATAAAATTAATATAGAGTTGTGATGATTTTAAAAGTTTGTTAGATTTATGAATATTTAAAAAAACTATCAAATTTTTTTATTATAATGATTTTAAAAAATTTAAGGTACGTATGTAGATAGTATTTATTTTGAGAGTTTTGTTTAATGAGTTAAATTGTTAACAATATTTGTCCTAATAACAAAGATTTTAACAGATTGATAGAATCATTAAAAATCAAACTTTTTGAATAACAATGGATTTTGTATAGAATTTGAAAATCTCTATACCAATAATAATAAATTAGTATTAAGAATGTTAAAATTCATCTACCAATAACAATAGAATCTTAAAATTTTAACAATCATTAATACAAATTCTTTTAACATTAACTCCCCTTATTGTATCATAAGTTTCAAAAGAAATAATACTATAAAAGTAGATACTACAATCCATTAAGTCATTAACCTCTTTCGGTCAAAGACCATTAGGCAATGATAACCTTTCCAAAAAGACCATGGACCTTTTAGTATACTCCTTCTGTTTTAATATATAAGTTGTTTAAGTTAAATGCACAACAATTCATTAAGAAAAGTACATTTTTGTTTAAAATATAAAAAAAATTGTATGATATAATTGGTTACACAATATTCAATAAAACTAAAACTAATGCAGAAACTTATATTAAAAAACAAAATAGAATTTTTAAAACAACTTATATTATGAAACAAAAGGAGTACTAACTTTTATTGTCTTACAGCTGTAATTGAATGTGTTTGACTAGCTAGTCTTTCAGGATTTTCTTAAACCAAATCTTAAAATCCTGCTTTGGTTTCTTTTATCAACGGTTACAAATAATGGGTCGTTTGGCCCTTGGGCTTTTGCATTTCTTTTTCGGATTTGAAATTTGAAATATCTTAAGATTCAATTTAAGTCATTGTAAAGTCTAGTGGAAGAATAGCCGTTTGATTGAAGATGAGGGGTTTTTAAACCCGAATTTGTTTTTAGAATTTTGTTTTTGCTGCGATTTTGTTGAATAATTTGATGACTATATGTCCCTAATTCGAAAAAAGGAACAAATAACATTTGACTAGATACTGTTGTCACAAAAGAAAACATATACATAAATTAATCTTATACTTATTACAGTATCTATATTATTTTGAGGGTTTTTTCTGCATTAGTCCATATTATTATATGAACACGTATTATGAAATAAATTAACAGTATAATGTGATATAATAATTTATAATTATCTTATGTTAAGCGCGTTCAGTAAAAGATGATAAGAAGTTTTTATATCAAAGAAATCGACTCTGGCGAATTAAAGATGCAAGTTAAATATCTTATAATTTCTTTATCAAATACCTTTTTTCTTTATATTTTTGCGACAATCGCAAAGAAAAAAAAGGAAGGAAAATAGAAAATATATTAAAATTTATAATCTAGTTGACAAAAGTTTTAATGATGTCAGCAGTCATATCGGCGATATCATGAGTGGCTTGGTTACGTTCGGTCAACGGCACCGGGCCCTTTCCGGGAAACTGTTGCTGACAAGTAACCGGCGCCTGTATCACAACGTCATTTATGTCAGACACCGCCTGAGAATACTTCTTAGCCTTTAGATCCGCCAACGCCGCCGGTAGAAACCTACGAATCGACGCGCCGTACCCTTCAATGCAAGTTCCGTACCTCTCGAAACCTTCACGGCCGCCGCCGAGGTCCTTCATAACGGAAATGAGATATTGTATCGTCTCGTTCACTTTCTTTGATGTCGCATCAATGGAGATCGATGCAAGCCCTTTTTTATGCAAAATAAATTAAAATTAAAATATAGAATTATATATTTGTTAGCTAACTTAAGTTTGCAATACGAATGATGGGAATATTGGATCTGTGGATAGTGACAAACTTTACGAGAATCATGTCAAATATATATATTATCTTACCTTGGAGATTTGAGGTTTTGCTTCGAGGATCAAGATTAAGCGTAGAGACGCATAGGCTTTGATGACGGTTTCTTTTGCAGAGTTGCTGTATAAGATTAGGTCCCGGGGCAGACACTGGGTGAGGATTTTGAGACAGGACTATTTGGATTTGGATAAACAGGACAAAAATAGCGAATAGTTTCATGAAATTATTCATTTTGTTATTTGATAATGAGAGTAGTACTTTGAGAGATACAAAAACAAGAACGTAAGAGAATTGTTTCTGATTTTAAGGTTGGCTTTTTAAGGTTGATTTTAGTGTATATATATACAATATAGACATGGAAATTAAGTTTTTTCTTTTTGAACATTGGAAATTAAGTTGATGCCAAATTATAAAAATATTAACAGTTTATCGTTGTTTGAATAGCTTGTATTTTAAAGATTTTTTAACTAAAAACTTTAAAATATTTTTAACAGTTAATTTATTGTGTTTAAATGTCAAAATAAACACTACTACACTACAAAAGTATGAAATCCCTTAACCTCTTTGGGTCGAAGACCATTATAAGGCAATAATAATTACATTTTACGAAAAGACCATGAACATGTTCATATACTAGCCTTTACTGTCTTTGTAACTGAAATTGAATGGGTTTGACTACATATAGTCCCTAATTAATTAGCGAAAAGAAACAAAAACGTTTTGACTAGATGTCAGAAAAACCATATGATTATTATATAACTTAATCAGATTTGATACATGTTGATACACATATGACCGTTGACCAGAGATATAGCAAACTAATCCTTTTATTATTTTTTTCGTAAACTAATCCTTTTATTTCCTCCACAATTAGTTAGAGGATAAGAATTTACAACTATACAGATAATTACAGGCTGACACGTCATGAATGTGCATTAAAAAGGTTAAACGTTACGAAGCCTAGAGAAAAAAAAAACGTTTGGGCATAATTAAAACTAGAACTAGTCACGAGTGACGACTCACACTTACAAACACATAAATAGACTTGACTATATAACATCATCATCTTCCAATTAGTAGAAATAGATAATTGTAAGAGAGGAGATGAAAATGATAAAGATGATGATGCTGATGGCTATGATGATGGGAGTTGCGATGGGAGATATTATAGATAAGACATGCAAACAGACACCAGACTACACTCTCTGTGTCTCTCTCCTCCGCTCTGATCCACGTAGCTCATCCGCCGACGTCGTCGGCCTCGGTCTCATCCTCGTCGACAAAATCAAGGTTTTTTGCTCTCTCTCCCCAAATTTGAATACAAGACAAGTTTTTCGAAGCATGTGGTTACTTTTGTAACAATTCAAAAGTTAAAGGCGATTTTGTCCAAACAAATTAACTTCTCTCCTTTTTAAAATGTAGGCGCTTGGGACTGAAACTCTCGGGCAGATCAACGTGGCATACAAAACTAAACCAATGCTGAAACGCGCTCTGGATGAATGTAATGGGAGATACAAGACGATCGTAGACGTCGACGTCAACACAGCCATTGTAGCTATCAAAGGAAACCCTAAGTTCGCCGAGGGTGCAATTGTCGACGCTAGCGTGGAAGCCTCTGTCTGTGAAAGAGGGTTTCCCAAAGGTCAATCTCCGGTAACCGGTTTAACCCAGAGAATGGACAAAATCTGTGATGTAACCAGAGCCATCGTCAGAATGTTACTCTGATACTAAATATCTAACTTCAAATAAATAAATAAATAAATCTCTGGATAAGTTTGTACCAATACTATTTATGCTAAACCGGTATTAGGCTGTAGAACTGATGGAACCGGTTATCGAACACGGGCAAAACAGGGCACGAAGTTTGTAGAACCGAATCACGGGACATACCAACAACATTCACGAGCCAGAGATATCGTCTGACGAGGGAAAGAGAGCCCCACAATGTCATTTTTATAATAAGATGAAGGTATTTTGAAATTATTTGGTCGACGTCGGGTATAGTGTGAACTCATGTATAATGGTAGTTTTGTCGTATATGGACCGACTCATGTAGTACTCCATTCACCACATAACATATTCTTTCTCTTGTTTTTGTGCCAACAACCACATACAACCAAAAAGATAAAGTGTAACAAACAAAAACTAAAGAGCAGACACAGCAGATTCATGTATTAGAAAATTAGGTAGTGAATCAATCTATATACTGAAACTGAAGTTAATAGTCTAAAATACGCAGAGCTGCTTATATTATATCAAACCCGAATAAAAGTAGTTGATCACGAAACTTCGTCACGGGTGGAACTATAAGACGTACTATAGCCATTTATATAAGTTGACATCGATACATAACGAAATTCATCTGTGACGACACGTAAAAAAGCATCTGTCTCTTGTCCTTAAATAAAAGAAAGGGAAATATGATTTGCAAGCTTTATAAACATTTATTAACATATAACAAATTTAAATAGCAACTATATAAGCCAAGAAACAGAGCTAGCTAGTAGCAGCACTCACACAAGTCTTTATTTATTTATTGCATATATCAGTTTCTTCTCAATATCACTCCGACGATGAAGAAAGCCTCCGCCGTCGCAGCACCACTGTTTCTCTCCCTCTTTCTCCTACTGCTCCTGCCGTTGCTAGCTCAAACTTCCGACGACTTAATCGACAAAATCTGCAAAGCGACGCCGTTCTGCGACCTTTGTGAAGCCTCTCTCCGCCCTCTCACTCCCTCACCTTCCGATCCCAAATCCTTAGCCTCCGCTATGGCCACCGTCGTGCTCGGAAACATGACCGATACCTTAGGATACATCCAGTCTCTGATCAGACATTCCCACGATCCCGCGGCGGAGCGAGCGCTGGCTCAGTGCGCTGAGCTTTACCGGCCGGTGGTCCGGTTCAACATTCCCCAGGCGATCGATGCAATGCAGCGAGGGGAGTTCGGATTCGCGACGTATGTTCTCGGAGACGCCGAGAAACAGACTGATTCTTGCCAGAAAGGGATCAACAACGCCGGCGCCGACGATGATAGTTCGGTGGCTCTTACGGCTAGAAACAAGCTGGTTAAGAATCTTTGTGACGTGGCGATTTCTGTGATTAAGGCTCTAATGAAGGGTCTTTAAAAAATCTTTGTTTGTTCTGAAATATATATATATATATTTGTAATTATTGGCACGAGCAAATTACTATTATAGAGTCGAAAGTGGGCGTTAACAAACCTAAAGAAATTAATCATACTCCTTAATTGGGAAAGTTGATAGCAAATAATTTACTCCAAAGCATTTATTGATGCATGATTTTGGTCCGAGCCTTAAATATACTTTTTATAGCATATAAAGTGGTTTGATATGATTATCGTTTTACGTAAGTTCAATTTTCATTTTTCAGTTCGATTTGGATGATTTATCAAGACTAAAAAATTGATATTATTATGAACGAGTAGTACATAGATTTGATTGTGGTAACAAACCAAGTAGACTATTCCGCGAGAGGTCTCAAGACCATTCTGTTGTTTACACAGTCACAAAATTTTGGTCCTCTAAAACAGATTAGGAGTTATTGGGCCTTAATTAATGGGCCCACGAAGCAACCGATACAGCAACGAAACAGAAATAATAGACATTTGAAATATACACACGCACGTGAAATCACATGTTCCATTAATTTCGCAAAGCATTAAAAGTGGTCTCTAAAGCTCAGTGGGAGTGTTTTAGATACAGCCACATGGATTCTGTTTTCCAAATATACATGTTTTTTTAGTAATTGATTTTCAAATTTCAACTGCAAGCATCACTACCATGTGATTTCCATATCTAAAAACGCTATATACCAATAATGCTGATTTCATTTGTTTTCTGTAATTTTTTTTTTTTTACGTTTTGATTTTGTTAAAAATTGGATGTATTTAGAAATCTACTGATATCATCCCAGTTTGTATTATAGAATACCGTGATCACTAAATACAGATAAAAAAAATATATATATATAAGCACTGATTTTATTACTTGTAAGTTGTAACTTCTCTCATATTTTATTTCAAGAAAAACATTACGAAACTACTCTTACCCCAACATCGGATAGTTATTGTTTCATTGCCGCTGAGAAAGCAGCTGATTTTCCCCAACAAAATTTATCGGTACGAATACATGGTTCACCGACAATCTAAACCGATGTATGGTTTGATCAAACCAGTATAGAGTTGTCCATTTCTATCCCTTTGGTTTACACTTTACTGTGAATCTCTATTCATTTTCTTTTCATTCTCCAAACCGGATACCGGTTTTAGTAAACTGCAGGTACAAAAAAAAAAAACAAGATTAGAGATTATTTCAAACAAAAACGTTTGTGATATCATTTTGCTCACGAACCAGATATAGAATAACATACTTTGGGAATCTCTGTGCTAAACCCGGTCCGGTATAACCTCCATTAGGTTGGCTCGCAGACGGATTTCCCGCATACTGAACCGAAACAAAACCGCCACTGGCTTTTCCGGCGTCTACTAAGGGAGATTTTCCGGCGCTAGAGCCTGCTCTTGGTGACAATCCTGTTTTAAAATACACACACATTAGATGAATCTAAATTTGACAATAGCAAAACGCAAACGCAAATGAAATGGTAAAATCAAATCACCCACCTTGGAAAACGAGGACGAAGAAGAAGATAGCGGTCAGAAGCGTGGCCAAGACATTGCCGATAGAAGAAGCTGCAGACGCAGCTTTTGCGGCTCTAGATTTCTTCAAAGCTCTCATGCGTTCGACCCTCGCGCGTTTCAGCATCGCCAATTCAGCGATCTCCCTTATCAGTTTCTGATCCGCTGCGTCCAGCGACGGTCCACGCGGCGGCCGAGGAGGCTTCGACGCTGATTTCTTGCGTTTCTCCTTCCGATCGCTCTTCCCCCATCCCGGTTTATTGATTGCACATTGAACCGGGCTTGCATTGTTTTCTAACGAACCGACGGTTTCTTCTCCGGTTTTTACCGGTTTGTTATCTGGAGACATCGGTATCAATGGCTTCTCCGGTGATTTTGTATAACCAGTGTCGCAATCTACCATTCCTTTCTCAAGATCAACATCGAGATCGAGACTCATCCCCATTATCGCACCAAATTATTCACTCAAGACAACAAGATTCCAAAACTGAAAAAGAACCCAACTTCACACTCACTTAGATCAGAACCGAAGCTCAGAGAACGATCTCTTTGGTCTTGAATCTGTAATCAAGATCAAGATCTATTCCCAATAGAGACGAAAGGACACACACACACAAACATAGACCAAATGTGTATCTATATGTGTGAGTGAGTTTCTTTTCTTTTTATTCACGTTTGTGCCGCCTTTAATAGCCAAAGCAAGTAAAGAATGAATTACAGCTAACGTCTCGTCTCCAGGAATAACCCAAAATCTGAAAAAACAAAATCAAAAGATTTTAATTTTTCATCAATCTATAAAGAAAAATACTTTAATGCTTAATCATTGTGCAGAATAATATGGATAATTACCGAATCAAAACCACATGGTATAGATAGATAGATAGATAAAGTCAAAAATAAAATAAAAGTAAGAGAGATTGGATTAGAGGATTAAAGAGGATGAAAGAGTTTGAACTTTGAAGTTTGGTTGATGTTTATTCAGATACTGTCAAAAGTAGGTAATTTTATAGTGCATTGATTCCAAATAAATTGTTTTATAAAAAAAAAAAGAAATATATATTGCTTAATCTCGGGCATCAAGCAAGGAACAGCTGTGTTTTTCCTTTTTTCCAATGCCGTGACTTCAGGGGAAAAACATAAATTAATAAAAATGAAATAAATATTTGTTACGGAATCTCGAATACGAACCCAGAAATTTAAATCGAATTTACTGATGAGTGATGAGTATTCGAAACGATGAATGAAGAAGAGACTCGGATAAGAAACAGTAAAACAATTTTTTATTTTTTTAAACTCTAATAAGACAGAAAGAATTCAAAAACCCGAACTAAATTTGGTGTGACTAAAATAGAAAAGTATTAGAAACTTTATCTACCTTGAAACGAAAGCGAAGGAGACCCAGATCCGATAGTGAAGAGATGAGCAGAGAGACCGAGGAGAAAATGGCGGATTAATTGTCCTAGTTTCAGACCGATTCCAAGAAAACTAAATAAGGACAAAGAAAAAAGAAAGAAAGATTTATACACATTCGTCGAAGTTTCCAATATTTTTCCTTAAGGAGAGATCGAAATATATAGATGATGATGTTATATTATTCTGAGATACTCTGGATTTTGAAGACGAAATATATATATATATATATATATTAATATTTTGAAGATGGTTTAAGATAAAAGGACAGCAGATTTGAATTCGAAACAGATATAGTAGTGTGTATTGTGTTCGGACATGTGTTGCTGTTCTAAATATAGCTGAGACTACGCATGTGAGCTTTTCGCCAGCAGGGAAGCTTCACGTCACCGACGCAGAGAGATGGGCCAAATATTCTTTTATTACAATTAGATCCCCTAATTTTTAGTTTCCTTCGGCGTTTGCATCCATAAAATAATACTGTGACCCTGCTACAAATTTTTGGTACATGGGATTGTTTTTGGTTTTTTTCATAAATACAAAAGTTCAAATTTGTATTTTTTGTATCAAATTACATGAAAAATCAAGTCGAGGACAGAATCGGGTAGACGGAGACAAATACGACGACATATATTGTCCTAAATTGAAGAGAACTTGGGCCCAATTTATTCACTATAAATCTATGTGACCCAGTTTTACAAATATCTGAAAATGACGACTTTAACGAGAACCGCTCTCTCAAGTCCCTCATCGCTATGAAATATATGGATTAAGTCCTTAACTAATAAAAAACTTTTTGATTAGCCCCCAATACCTGAATACAATGAACTGCGTCTAAAGAAAGCTCGTCAACGTCTTTTTTTTTTTGTCTCATCGCGCGTCAAATTCGTCAACAACCTCGTTTTGTTACACTTTATTCTTCTCAATTAAAAATTAGTCTAAATCCCCCACATATATATTTTTGTCGGTCAACATTTTTCACATTATATTATGTGTTGTATTTAGGTATTAATATCAGATTCTGAATTTTATCTGCGGCACTTTTATTTACTTACTATTACATCCCATTAGCAATGTTACATAGTCACAACTTTTTGGAATCGATAAGGAAATTGTGAATAATACAAGAAACTTCATATAAAAAAAAATATTTCCCACGAGATCAATAATTATAGAGAAATCATAAGGCATGGAGGTGTCTGATTGGTAGGGAGCTCTTCACATCCCACTTACAGACAACATTGAATTTAATCGGTCCGTTTTTGAAATAATATGGTGGCCCCATGAATCTGACTTGTTACACACATTCAACTTACAGTCTATTAACACGTTTATTATCTCTTCATATAGATAACATATGTATGTTTCTCGTCAATGATTCGCTATACATAAAATATATATCTTTTGTATTTAGTTACCCATCATAAACCTTTTCAAAAAGATATATGTACATAGAACATAACAAGTTTTGAGTTTTGTGCCCAAATTAATCTGAAAATCTTAACATATTACCACAACGAGAATTGTTTTCTTATTTTTTTAACACAATGAGAATGACCAGACCAGTCAAATTCTGCCTGCCACACAAGTACACAACCCCAGTCGAACCGACAAATCCTTGAAGGTTAAGGGCCCATATGTGGCCCACTAATAACAAATACATTGGTCCGAGAAGCCCGTTTTATACACTAGAGCTGTAACTTAAAGTCCAGTTTCGATTGTTCTTCTTTTCTATGTACTTTTTGAAATTGTGCATGTTATATTCTTCGCGGGGAGTCATACTAATTATTTTCTCCAATTTTATTAGATGTCTCCGAAATATTTTCTAATACGAAGGGAGGTATAATCAATGAGTGAAATAAACAAGCTGTATGTATATTGTAACGTCCTCGACTGCCCATTCTAGCAAATTACAAAAAATGTAATATTTATCTAAATCAGGAATTAATTATCTCTCGAAAAAAAAATGAAATATCGAGAAATAGGAAATGAACTTAAACCGTCTTAGTTGGGATTAAATTTTCCCAACGTGGTTTGTGAAAACCGAGTCGTTACATATATAACAATCGTGAAATGGTGCATGGAAACATGCATGTTATTGGTAATATCGGTATCATATCATCTCTCTTTAATAACAAACAAGAGTCTACACAACATATAATCAATCATGTGTATATGTGATGACAAAAACATCTATCACCTTATTATTATACGTTCCTAGCTAGTATAATGTAAATGAGCAACATAATATTATGAAGAGTAATCTAGGGTGAGTCACCGTAATTATTATCTCCACTACCGTATCCGCTTCCATACCCTTCACCGTATCCACTTCCATAGCCTGATCCATTTCCACGGCTACCACTCCCTCCACCTCCTCCTCCCCCTCCACCGCCGCCTCCACCACCACCTCCGCCGCCTCTACCACCACCACTCCCATATCCAGAGCCGCTTCCATAACCTGACCCGTTTCCAGATCCTCCGTTTCCTCCTCCCCCTCCACCGCCCTTGCCTCCCCCTCCCCCTCCACCGCCACCATTTCCTCCTCCTCCTGACCCGTACCCACTTCCGGACCCATACCCTGATCCGTAGCCACTCCCTGAACCTGATCCTTCTCCACCGCCACCACCACCGCCACCGCCACCGCCACCTCCTCCACCGCCACCTCCGCCACTGCTGCCTCCTCCAGAGCCTGAACCATATCCGGAACCTGAACCTGAACCGGAACCTCTACCAAGTGCTTTTGATGATCTAGCTGCTAAACCAACGTCAAATATAACTAAAACTAAGAAAGTAACTCCTAATAACCTGAGGCTTCCCATACTCATAACTTATTAATTAAGAACCAAGCTAACAACTAACGAGCCACTAATAAAAATATTTTTCTTTGTGAGAAAGTTTCAGAAGAAAGAAAGCTAGCTCGAGAAGCCTTGTGTAATGTAGGATGTATCGATGGTATAGAGAATATTGTTGGCCTGTGTAGGTACTTATAAGGAACCGAGAATAGTGGAAACGTAAGAGTCACGTAAGTTCTAGTAGCTTCCTTTTGACCAATATGTGTGAACCGTGAACAATGGTGAGCAAAGTGGGCCTGCAAATTCTTAGTGCTCTTCTTGGTGATGATACTGCCATCGCCACTCCTCCAATATCATCCCAAATTATATTTTAATTCTTGTATATTGTTGGAACATGTGTCGTCTTACTCATGGCTCATCTCTCTAAATTCTTAGTAGAAATAATATGCTTAACATACACGTGTAAACGTATCGAACAGCACACAATCCACCAACCAACATTTCCATAAATAGAGATGTTTAAGTAGTACTCCCTCCCTTCCTTAATGTATAATTTTTTAGATTTTTTACAAGTTTTAAGAAACAATCATTAATTATTCTTTTCAATTACTTTTTCATTTTAATATTTTTTTATATTAGTTATTTTAATGTATATTTTTTCTTTCCAAAAATAAAGTGTTCTTGAAAAAAGAAATAAATTATATATAATTCAAAAAATCAAACTTTATGGAACAAATTTTTTTTCTAAAACATCAAATTTTCTGGAACAAAAGGAGTATCATATTTGATAAAGTTCACAACATTACATAATAAAATATTCGTTTAAGTGCTTATGTGTTGTCCGTTGTGTACTTATTCAAGTACGTGGCCCCTAGCTTTTTTTTATGTATGGGAGAGAGGGAGAGTTTTGAATTTGGAGTTGGGTTTTTATTTGTATCCAAATTTTCTTTCGCCTTCTTTGCAAACGAGGTCCAAATTTACTCTATTCTGCATTCTTATTGGGTCTATCAGTTACTGTTTTTGAAACCCAATAGGCAACGAAGCCCTAATTATTTTAATTTTATTTTTGTTTGCCAACAATATATATATATATATTTTAAAGTTTAAAACTTTTTTGATGTATTTAAAACTTTTTTTAAAAAGTTTAAAACTATAAAACATTTGAAACTTTTTTGATATGACACAAATGTTTATTCTTTTCCGTTATCACCCGTCTTTTATTCTATATTGCATAATGTCCTTGTTATAACTGTGGCAAAGAAGAAGCGCACACTGCTAAATTATGCTCATACAGACATATGATTTGTCCTTTAATAAAAATTAGAACCTGAGATCTAAAACTCACTGTGTCTTTGAAGTTGCAGGAACCACGAGTTGTTAATCATTTACCGGATATCATAATCTCAAGACTCGGCCACTAAATTTTAACCATATCTTTTGGACTTTAATTTGTTTCCTTTCTTCACTCCTTTCTCATCTTACTCGGGGTTGGTGTATAACAAATATATTGGTATCATTAGACGTAGGCACAAGTAACGATGACTACTCTAACGCATTATATGAAGATTGTCCGAGCAGTGGCTCTCCATCCGATCGAAAGAGTAATTGTCTTGCTCTTTCAACTTTAGAGTAGTGCAAGATGCTTTTGCTTCTGATCAGCTGACGACAACATCGAGAATTTAGCCTTTCTAAGGGAGAACATGCTGTAAGATTTCTGGAGAAGAATCCTTGTATTTAGCTCTTGAATCACATATATTTGAAATAATTTTTAAACTTTTTAGACCAGTTAGGTAATTCAATCACAAGAGAAATCATCTTACACTGATACAAGAGACATAATATGATCTACTATAAAAAGTAGAACAAGAGACATAATATGATCTACTATATAAGTAGATTGGTATAGTGCTAAATAACCATGATTTTCACAAACACAAGAGGCACATGAAGATAAAAGTACTCCGCTCCAATAACCAACAGACCAATGAAGCAAATATCCAGCAAAATTCAACACAACAAGAAGATAATATCCAGGAATAACAAAACTAAGCATGACATGAATTCAACATGCCAAACCATCTATTTATATATCTCACATATTAGTAACTTAAATTTGGCCTCATACCCAACACCCAAAACAAGGTCAAAAGTATACTATACTGCCTTAGTGGTAAGTAAAAACTATACTTCCAAAAATCTTGTTATTACCATTTACTTGAGTTTCTTGGTTACTACTAGTAAACTACCGAGTGGCTTTTTTAGGGTTTTGTGATGTCAATCAAATACTTATTGAACGAGCACTCACCCATTAACCAAGTGGACAACTTGGTCGGGAGACTGACTAATCGTGCGATGGATGATTCTTTCTCTGGTCCCGTGGTGTTTAGTAGAATTCATTCATAAGATATATTTATGAGATCACTTTTTTTGATGGCTGCTACAAAATTGAGTGATCCAACTTAAAAGTCGAATATTGAAAAAAAGTAGGGTTCATGGACCAATTTATAACACAAGTTGTGGCAAATAAGAGTGGACATTTGGCTTTTCAGTTCAATTCATTTCCTAGGTTATTCAAATTTTCATATATGAAAAAAATTAGGATTGATGGACCAATCTATAACTTTGGTTTATTTGTATGTAATTAAAATATAAAATATTACAGATTTGTTAGTAGACACAAATCTGTTAATGGAAGAAATCTACAATTTCACTAAAACCCCAAATAGATGTCGTCTAACACACACCAACTATATAAATTTTGAAGAGAATGACAAAACGTGAAACAAACGATTGAAAATCTCAAACGATCAATCAATAAAACTAAGATTCTGTCTCATATATATATATATATATATATTGTCCATAACAATGAAGGCTGATAACAGATTGTTGGAAGCAAACTTACACCCTATGAACATGAACAAAGGAATTGCAAGCGAGTCGGCCTTCGAATACAAACGATAAATAAAAGAACAGAAGATAGAGACAAAGTAAGAACTGAGGAAACTAATCTCGTGGAGAAGACACTTGAGTTGATTAGTGCCTTGACAGTCCGACATTCAGGGAGAGAATTAGAGAAAGCACGATTGTTGGTTTAGACTTTTCATGTTGTTGGAGTTTTTTTAATTAGAATCAACTTTGGGGATATTCAAAACTTCATATTGTTTTAAACAAACATTGACACTGTGTGAAATCTAAAGAAAATATGCATATCATTTTTAACAAGCCAAAACACATACTATCTACATTAAGCCCTACACTTTTAAATGTATATTTTTTTATCAATTTCTCTACAAGTATAGGAGAGCCCCCTCCTTATGATTTGGGGTTTGATAGTTACCTCACCACTCAGTGCTGCAAATTGTTGGATTTGGAATTTGGAAAATTGGAATCACCATATCTTTTTATAGGCCCAATCCAATATTTCTTTTGCATTCTTCATCTCTCTTAACTTTGTGAGTGCGATCTCTTGACGACTTGACCAAGCTTTTACTGCTAGTATAATTATGTTAATAAAACTAGCTAGTAGTTATAATCATGTTTCTCTTCTCTCAAATCAAGAAAAAAAGCATTCCATGATATCTAAGCGTTAATCAAATTAATTTTGATTGTCTCAATACATACGCATTGAGTTCTCAAACCTCGTATCACTAAATATCATGCATGAATAGGGTTTGAAGCTTGGAATACAACCAATTACGACCGGTGCAGTTTTATCACTTCGATTTTTTTTTTATATAATACTCGACTAATCTATGAACATGCCTTACAAAATCACATTGATATTCTTGGAGGACTTGTTTAATTTAATGTCTCGGAAAAAACAATAGAATATAGATTCTTACAAGTTACAACACAGTTGAATTACATCTTAGGATTCGGATTCGCGATCAAAACCTATGAACGTCTTCTTCTGATATAAAGTAAACGCATATCATGATCATCAGTAATTTTTTTTTTTTTTGGTCAAGAGACCATCAGTAATTTTAAAAGCAAATTAAATAAGAGATCTATGAAACTTGTTCTATAAATAGAGCTGCAAGGGAAGATACTTAACACATCCAAAACCAATAGCAACACAAAGAAGAAAAACGTTTACTCTCTACTCTATAGTTTAACATAAAATTATCTTTAGTAATCATAAAAACATGGCAATGCTCAAAAACAAAAACATGGCCTTCTCATTGATCTTGATGTGTCTCGTTGTGGTGTCTCCAATGGCTAATGCTCAGCTTCCCGGGCTTGGTGGGATTCTTGGCCTTCTCAATATCGTCAGAATCGATGGGCTTGTCTCGTGCTCTCTCAATGGCAGCGTCTCTACCTCTAATGCGACTTCCCTTCCTCCTCCTTTCCCTAGTAAGTTTTCCATAGCTATATCACTTTCTCTTTTGATCAATCATGCAAAACCGGTCCATCAAAATTTGCATCGATTCTGCAAACCAGAGCCGGTTTGTTGTAGATATGTAATGCTGTAGTTACAAATTATCTCTCTCTCTCTCTCTCTCTCTCTCTCTCTCTCTCTCTCTCTCTCTCTCTCTCTCTCACACACACACACACACACACACAAAAAAGTTTTATATAATCTATAAATTTTGTGTTAAAGCACATATTAAACTATTAGGAAAAAAAATGGTATAACATGTTGTAAAACCAACAATATTGTCAAGTAATAAGTAATTATCTCTATACGTAGAATTCTATTGATTCTAGAAACTGTTTATGTTCGATGCTAATTTTGTTGTACACTCATGTTTATAGATTTTAAAAGTATAAATATAACCTACCTATACGAAGTACGGACTAGAATAGATATAAACGAATATATTCACAAAGTAATATACATATATCTATATATACAATTATCTGTAAAAAATTACATACACAGTATTTGCTAATCTAATGCTGCAAACAAACAAACAAACAGATGCGACCGTTGCGATCCAGTGCCTTGGGCAAACTGTTGGAACTGGAACGACCAACACCGCTGGAATAGTGTCGTTGAACGGACTTTTGACCTCTATTCCCTTACTCCTCTCCAACGGTTGTAGGGCCGTCCTCACGACCCCTCTCTCCAGCTGCAACGCCAGCCTCCCTAACGTAAACCTCACCGCACCGATAACTCTCGTCGGAACCACATTTAATGAAGGCATCAACATCATCACATTCATCATTGGCGCCTTTAACCGCATCCTTGCTTAACTGAGTCTAAACCATATGCTTTATAGTTCGATTACGGTGTGTGTTTCCCTTCTGTTGTTCTATGTTTTTCAAGTGTCTTGACCAATATCGTTTGCTTGCGTATGCATGAATAAGGTCTATATCAGGTTTATGTCTCCATTTTCAAAGTACTGCGGTTGTAGCTTCTTTTTTCCAGGTCGTAGTGTGTATGCATAATGCTGCAATAAAAAAATGTAATGAAACTGAAATAAAATCATTTCTCTCTTTTTCATATTTTTTATATACCTCTTATCAAGAATCTCGTCCATAACCCTGAACCATAGATACTCCCTTCTCCTCCTTCTCTCAACGGCTACCCCCACCGCTGTCTCCCTCGGAACCTGAATCGGAGCCGCTGTTTGATAAGAGACGACGTGTAGGTGTACACCACTCCACTGCCATTTTATTGGGTCCTATTGGTTACTGTTATATAAACATTGCCAATAGGCCCGTTTCTTAAATTCAGGCCCAACAAAAAAACTCTTGTTTATTTAAAAAGGCTATCAGAGAACTCTTGTTATTAAATAGGATAAATTTGATGAATAACAAAAAAAAAAATTATAATTTAAAAACTAATCTGTAGAGAGAGATAGGAAAAAATAGAAAGAAAATGGTTAGTTTCCCTTATTAAGGCACATTTTAACATTACTTTTCTTTTTCTAATTAATATGATTTTTTTTGTAAAACTAAATATATCAATTAAAGTGTAAAATATCAATTTTTAAAAAATAAGAAAAAAACTTAAAACATTTTACTTTCAAAAATAGAGGGAGCATAGTTTTGTTTTGGTTATTGAATCAAATTTCCCTTATTAATAACATGAAAATAAATATTACTGTTTTGTTTTTTGGTGTTAAATAGTTTTTCGCGGGTTTAATGGGAATTTTAGCTGTTGTCGTTGTTATGATAATAATATTCCGTTAACAGTATTTTACAGTACTATTTTTGTATCACAGTTATTGCAAATTGTTAATTTGTTTTCGTGTTTTACGGCTTTTTGGAAAACTAGACAGGCTAGGGTCCTACCCACGTGCGTTTAAAGAGTCTTGGACAATGTTTTTCTCTTTTCTACTTGTTGTAGAGAAAATTAACAACTCTCTTTTCTATTTTTTCCTAACTTATTTATAAATTATAAACATGTTTAATAGTAGATTCTAATGTCGTTAAGTTTGTTTGTACATTTATGTTACATATAAGTGGGGAGTGTGACAAATTTAGACTGGTAGAAATTTATATCTCCAGTGTTAATTATTGTTTCAAAACTTATCTTTTATTTTGAGTCAAGACCAAATATTAAAACATATAAACTTCATTTAAACATCTAAACTCCAGATCCTACTCTAAACTTCATTTTAAATAAAATTTTCTCCAACACCTCCTGAACTTTTTCTTATATAAAATGGTTTTTTAAGTCTTATAAATTTTAAAGTTCAAAAAAAAAGTCTTATAAATTTTCATTTCATATGTAAATAATTTCATTAAATAATAATTTCAAGTTAACTAGTTAATAAATTATATGAAAATTTTAAATAAAAACTATGCTATAAATAAAAAAAGGATTTTTTATCTAATTAATTAAAAATCTAAAATACAATAATGAAATATATATTACAAAAATTACAATTGCATAAAACTACCACAAACTTAAAGATGTACAACAAATATCAAAAGTAAGATAAATCACATAAAATAATCTTTGCACAACAATTACAGATGAACTAAAACATATTATAATCTATGGATATTTAAAATAAATTAGAAGAAATATATAAATTTAAAATATGGCAATATATTATAGAAAAACTTACTATTTATAGAGTTAAAATAAAACCACATTGAAATGTTCTTAGGGTTGGGTAAAAGAGACTATACATGAATGCATGATTGGCTTGTTTTTTTTTCCTTTTAAAAATTATAACTTCGTTATCCATTTTGCGAGAAACTTGGAAAATGGTAAACTAGTAAAAAAGTGAATAATTCGATACCTTGCGGGCGCATGTTTCTAGAAAGTCAATTTATAAACTAATCAAGGTTAGAATATGATTAGTTCGAACTTAATCAAAGTCTAGGGAATCTAATTGCCACTCAATAATTGATAATCAAGAAGTGCCTTTTCTTAAAAGAGTAATTCTAGAGAACGACCACTACTATCGCAACGTGTGAACCTCGTGCTAGATTGCTTTTTTAGGCCATGGATAGACCGGTCGAAAATTAAATTATACTATGCAAGTATAGTACAATACATGTATTAAACAATTTAGTAATTAGCTATGCGTCTCTACAACCTATGATTTAATAAAACAAGTAGTTTCACTACTACACCATCTTAATTTCGATGTAAATGATCACCCCACTTCTAAAATTTGTTTGCCTTGTTACTAGAAAACCTCATCAGTTAGTATAAACATCGATTTCAGCATTTCATAGTTCATAACTGGCCCTCTAGTCTAGGATTACATGGATATGAACTTGCCACAATTTAGCAAACTTTCATTCACGTAAACCCCCAAAAAGAAATGATTTGTAAGAGGTAATTAGAAGTAAAATTATGACGATCTTGTCTCATACAATAATTTGTGAGAAAAAAAAAAGTAATAACAACGGAAAAAGAAACTAAAAAATATAATTGCATATGTATGTAAAATAACATATCTATTCACAATTCATAGCATTAACATGCATGTTCAAAACCAACAAAAATCAAAGTCTTCTACAAACAATTACAAATATATAAGTTCTAATTTGAACTGCATTTTGACAATTAAAATGTGAGTAACAATGCTGACACTCACCCTCACTAAAAAAAAAACAAAAACTAAATAATAGTACAATAAGAAATTGAGCAAGGAAGATTTGTATATTACTTGACAACCCTACAAACTTTGTCGTGGATTGAGATGAGACAGCAGAGAAATGCCCATCTCTTGTTTCAATACAGCAACCAAGCGACGTACCATAATTCCTATCTACATTTTCCATTTAAATATTTCTTTTTGTTGTTGTTGTCGTCGTTCTTGTTGTGAATTGAACGTTTTGTTCTTGTCGTATACGTTATGCTTGTAAAAACCATATATTTTGTTGAAACTCATTAAAATTATCATAGTTTCCTAAGAAATATATATATTCTAAATCTAGTTTATTAAAAAATATATACTAATAACGTCCAATGCACACAAGTAAACCGCGACCAAGCTACAGACAAAAACAAAAAAAAAATAGTGACTACATTTCGGAAAAAAAACATCATATCAAAGTCTGCATTAAATAGATTCAGTTGGACGTATTTTATTTCCCGATATTTTAACTTAAAAAGCAAGGGGATTAGTCTGAAAGCACACGTGTGGTCCAACAGGTGATGTGCCCCACGTGCGAATAAGAGTGACCACTGGTCAGTGGCTCGTGTATGGTTCGGACAGCGGCATACGACAGGCCGCCCGTCATGGCGGAACTGTTAATGAACAGACGATATATTGTTGTACATCTTCGTATAGTGTATATAAAAGACATCTTATATTCGATATCAAATTATTGATGATTTTTAGACAATTTATTAATAATTTAATACAGATGTCTTTTATATACACTATACGAAGATAGTACAAAAAATAAAATGTATTAAACCAACGAATAAAGTAATGTACCATTCCGTTTTTTTAACTTAGTTTTATAAAATGTAGATTAGAACCAAACTTTGTTAATAAATTTTATATATCTCACATATTGTTTTTTGTTGTTGTTGTTGTTGTAGCTTGTAACATGTATTAATCTCTAATCTGTTCGGTATGTCTTTTAAATTTATCCACATACTAACTACATCCATTTAGTCATATTTTTGTTTTCTTTTCTAATTCATCCACTAGTTTCTTTCTTTTCATTTTACATAACAACTTACACAATTAACCGATGGTGAGCCCTTAAATTTGTTGTACCGCCTTTGTTATCGAGAGATGATTCTACACGTTCTTTTCTAATACTAATAAGTACTTTAGATTATTGATGTTCTGTTATTCAAAGTTGCTATCAATGTCTTGATATTTGGATAAAAGTTACAAACTTTTAGATACTTTTTTCTGAAATCATAAAGTCTAAAACCATTCCCTAGATTAATTAAAAAAATTAACAACTCTTCATGAAACACAAATTTGTGGCATTTAAGAGTATATTGTAGCGTCTTTGTTCTAACCAAACGTTTAAAATAGTTTTGAAATGCCTCTTTTAAAACAAACACTTCCAGCTTAATTTATGATCATGAAAAGTGTATACAGTCTATCTAACTAAACCGACAATTAAGTGACTCGAATAGTTGACAAAAAAAAAAGATGATTGGAATAAGACCAATAAATAGTCTTTATTGACAATCAAATTAAAGAGGTTAACGAAAAGCAGTTTAAAGCTCATAGTGACATTATACACACGCTTAAGAGTCTACGACTACGGCAAAATCATTTAATCCATGTGCGTTCCTCTTTTTTAGTTTCTTTGGTTTTGGTGGACATAAATTGGTTTGACGAACACATGGTTGTCATTTCTCTCTCGTATTACGACAAATTTGATGAATACAATCAATTTAAGATTTAAACCCAAAATTTAGTTTTCATTTGCATATTTATTTCGAGCTACGCAATAATTTAGGCTAGTCTACGCACCTTGCACTTGCACCTATTCAATATTACTAAATTTTGCTATAAAAACAATATATATATACATATAGCTATGATATACAAGTATATATATAAATAAACCAAGTTAAAAATAATCTGAAAGATAAAATATATTTTAAAAAGTTAACTCAACTCTTATATTTTCCTTTAATTCAATCAATAATGCCATCAATCAGTTCTTTAAAGTTTTAAACTCAATTTTTTGTCATCAGATTACACTGTTATGTGATTAACATGATTTCTCTGGTACATCTCTCTCATCTGAACTCTGAAGTATATCTATTCAAAGATTTTCATTGTCTGATGTCAAAAAAAAAAAGATTTTCATTGTCTACCCAATTGAATGCATCACATGTGCAACCAAAATATAACTGTTGGTGGGGTTTAAGGGTTTTTGTTCAAGTATTGAAAGTTGGAGATAATGTAAAAACCACATGACATGTGTCAGAAAACATTATGTTTCATGAATTTGCTTTTTATTTTTGGTTTCACTATTCCTCCAAGATTACTAACAGTTTCACCAAATTCAGTGCCTTTTGGCCGACCAAAAACAAAGAAGAAGATCTTAGTGCCTTTTTTAATCATTTTTTTTTTACCTGAGTAAATTAGTTTTGGGGGGGAATCATACATAACAAAAAAAAAAAAAAAGTTGGCCAAAATATATACAGTGGTCGATTATATACTTCTCTTTTCAGAATGGAGCATGTGAGTCATCATGTTCATGTCTTTATGTCTTTCTCAACCATGTGATTGTGTTAACTCTCTAGATTTGTTCATTTTCTTTTACCTTTTTTTTGCATCTCCAAAATCTATCCACGTACCAAATAAAACCAATACCATTTACAAAAGAAGGAAAGAAATAAACAATCTTATAAATGTCAAAACAGATCAGAACAAAGTAAATTCAATTCCAATCACCAACGTAACTTCAAACATAACAAAACAAAAAAGCTAATTTTATCTTCCGTTGTTGCATTTGCCTCCATACATACAAATTTAATTTTCCAAACACTTAAAAAACATTAAATCGAGTTTGTCATTATGTGTAGCTATCTTGATTTAACAACATTGTAACCAAATCACAAGCTCAATTGTGCTCCCACAGTTATCAAGAAACTGAAATTTATTACGATTACAGAGATCAATCACTGTCTTGTTTTTTTTTTTTTTTTTTTTGGCACTATTTTTGGTAACAGAGAGATTCAAGAAAAAAGGATATACATGAAATGGTAAAATGAAGACGATATGAAAGTTGAATAGTAAATATTCAAACAGTAAACAATACAGCGAAGAATAATGAAAAACAGTTTTTTAAAATTGAAAAAGAAAAGAAAAAAGGACAGTTTGGCCAACTAACCAAGCATATGTGTTTGTCCCCCTTCATGACCTGGCGGCGGCGGCGGCGGAGAGCTGACGGCGGAGAGAATAGCAGTCATGGCGCGAATCTGCATCTCCATCGCAGCTATATAATCTGTGGTTTCCTCTAAAACCACTGGTAATGTTTGTTTACGGCAACCGGGAACTAACCGGCTCAGCACTTTCACCTTCCTCTGTACAGATGGCAAACCTTTAGCCTTGAGCCTCAACACCGTCGCTCTCTGTTTCTTTGACCGGAGACTCCCGGTGATTGCCGGTGACGTCGTCGGACTCGAGATTCTCTGCCGTTTCTGTTTCCTGAATTTGAGTTTCACAGCTTTGGATAGTATCGCTCGGCTCCACAGTGTCTTGCCTCTTGCCGCAACCGCCAAGGCTCTATCGGCGACCTCGCGTACCGCTCGACCTCCTCGGGGAATCGAAGACGACATCGATGGTTGACTGATTCGGAGCTCTCTTAGAGCACGAACCAGCTTCGTCGAGTAGATCTGTTGCTGCTTCTCCGATCTCCATTTCTCCAACGACGTCGATGGAGACGAAGGCGAATCTACCGACGGCGGCGATTTCTTCCTCCGCTTACGGCGAGAGCGATCGGAGCTGGCGCTCGTCGTCGGCTGAAGCACCTGATCCAATACCGGAGACGTCGAATCCATTTAATTGCCGATCAAATCTCAGCGGGTTTCCGGTTTCGGTTTAATCTAATCTTCGATGAGACAATTTTAGAATCCGATCAGATCAGAATCAGAGAAACTCAGGAACTGTTGGATCCGAATCGAGGATCTGTACACACGAATCAAAAATCAAAGAGATGAATAAACGGGAAAGTATGATGATTACGAGAAGATTAAGGATTAAAGTTTACCTTTTAGGGGAGACCTGGTGGAGAACGGAACGGGACGGAGAAGGTGGTGGGAGAGATGAGGTGTCAGAAAGGGTGTGGAGAGAGAGGAAGACGATTCCTTTTTTATTTTATTTTTGTTTTAACGAAGGAAGAAGGCAAAGAATCGCATTTTTATACATGAAATTAAATTTTACTGTCGTTCTCCTTCTCTCTCCCCCATGTGATGTGCACTATCCTGTTGAATAAAATTATTGTTATCCTAAACTCTTTATTTTTTTATTTTATTTGCAACTATCTCCTTGTAGTATCGAATATATTCGGTTTCGTCGGAGTAATTTTTTTACATGACTGAGTTATATATATTGCCTTCGCGGGAAACTTGTTTCTTACCGTGCAAGACACCGGTCTCATGCTTGTTGAGTTTCAAGGGTTCCAAGAATCTCACAGTTTATCTGAAATGATCACCGACACTTGCTATGATAAAGAAAATAGTAAGGTCTTAAGATGATCCATACAATGCAATTAATAAGATCCTCAATTTTGTCTACTCACTTCATTTATATTTTTTGTTTCATTTTAAGGTTGTGTTGTATAAGAAAATGTACACGGGCCACTAATTATATTCCAAGAAAATATACACGGGCCACTAATTATATTCCAACTGGACTATGCAAGGTTATCAGTTTTATTTGAGGCAGGCCTATTATAGTGAAAGCAAAGGCCCACTAATATATTATTAAGACCCAATTTGTCCCAGAGAAACCCTAATTCCTAAATCCCTGAGTATATATTCGAAACACATACGGCGATGATTAATCATTCGATTCGATCTCCCTCTAGCTAGTATATGCTTGCTTTATTTATCTTTTTATCGTTGTGTGTTCATCTTAAAATCTCGTTTTTTTTTTTGTGTGTACCTGATTCGATTCGCTTCACAGATTGATTTTCCTGTAGAAATTTTAATATCTATGGGATAAATTTTTCATTGATTTTACTCGAGAGGCGATACATTTAAGCAGGGGCGTTGAGTCGCTCGCCTGCGTGAATCAGGCATAGCGAATAAGCTCGTGCCATATCGTTTTTGCATTTGTTATGTTTTGAACTTTTTCGCTTAACTTTCGGAATTGTAGAATTCGCTAAGGATCCTATGATGGCATGAAATCTTTGAGACCTGATTTATTTATTGATGAAAAGCTATAAGCATTTTACACTGAGGATCCTGATAATTATTTATTTCTGTGATTTTTTTTAATCCGGATCGTTATTTTGAAGTGTAAGATGATGAATATGCACTGGGCTCTGAGTTGTTGATTGACATTCAACTTCTTTTTGATGGATAACGCAGCCTAGAAAGCTTGATCTGATTACTCTTTTCGTAAATCCTAATCTTTGCTTTTAAAAACGTGTTATGAAATTTATAAACTAGTATTGTTGTTTTTGCTTTATATTTTTTGTTTTCCTGATTTGATGCATATCTTTAAAATCTTTGTCTTAAGATATTGGCCACAAATTTCTCGGTGATACAAATAAGCATCAACACTATAGGGCTCATCCCAGACGCGTAAAGTTAAATAAATAGACATGTCCATTTTATTTAAATAAAAGGGCTTGGATTTAATGGAGCATCTCAAAATGTATAAAAATCAATTCCCAAATCAAGCTTCAGAAGCAACTTTTGAGATAAAGAAAACTGAGATAATGAAAACTGGTTAATAATTTATTGTAAAGATGTTTCACGTGTACTGAGTATAAAGCAGTACCAATCGTGCATAAACCTATAACTAAACCATTTTTTACGGAGATAATATAAATGATCGGAGCTTGAGGTCTAACTTGCTATGTTCCACCGAAAGCTATTAAATGCTGAATGGGAAAGTGAGTAAAATCACCATTAAGAACGTGAGAGCGTTACTTGCAAACGGCAGATTCAGAAATCAGAAATTGGACACTCCAAGTGGAAAACTATAAACAGTGCTGTATAGCTTTTATGAGTGGCCTCTATTTACAAAAGTATATCTTTTTATTAGACAATATGAAGGTTCATTTGGTATTGTCATGATACATCTATGCTACAGACTTACTGTTACATGTAGGGCATGGTAAAAAAAAAAGACAAGCATAGAGAATAAGAAGAGACGGCACGCAGTCTTTTGAAAAACGGCATGAGAAGAAGATTCGTAGTCGTCACTCATCAGAACAGAAGCATGCAGACTCGAAGCGAAACTAGTAGAGTCGAACATAGCCGCTTAATACAAAAGAACTCATTACGTACGATTTCGTGTTTTTTCATTTTTTTTTCCTTTTAGATGTTGCCCAGTTTCTTATTACCGTCTAGGCCAAAGTCATATAACCAAGTAAGAAGAAGGAAGAGACATTGTAAATTGTTTTGTAATTGTTTTAGTGTTCAAGTGCACTCCGGATAGAGAGTGGTGAATCTTGAGATGAGTTGGCGTGTCCTCTGGAGATGAGGTCATGGTTCAAGAACACTACTATAACTGTGATGTCATCATGAAAATGGCGTCTCACTTTCTTGTCAATCTTCCTTAGATCAGAATATCTCATCTCACGTTTCCTCGCTGCCTCGTGAAGAGCCGCTTTTATCAGTCTTTTTGCGCTTCCCTAAAGAGAGAGAGATTTAGAGAACACCAGAAGACCACAGTGCAGCAAATCAATTATACATACATCTAAAGTGCGAATCACTCTCATCTTTTCAAGAGAGTAGAAACTTACAGCGCGGGGATGGTTATGAACAATCTCAACTGCTTTCTCGTTGCTCAAATGTTCCCAAAGACCATCGGATGCAAAAATGAGGAACGAATCATTAGGGTGCAGAGGATGAGAGAGTATGGTCGGGGTTGCAGACATCAACGGTCTCTTCATTGGCTCTGCAAGTCTGAACTTTTGATTGATCGGTTCCCTGTTAAACTCTGGCCGTTTCATGTACATGTCTCCTATAGACCTCGAAACCTATAACCAAAACTAAAACCATTATTACAGAGAATTACTGGCAAACATATGTTCAATCCTCTAGAGCTACATAGTAAGCATTATAACCAAACTTGAGGCATGGCAAAAAGAGTAAATGGACGAAAAGCCAATGTAAGGCACTGGATCCTACTCTTCTACGACAGTACCAAACAGCATGTGCTAAATAAGGTTTGTTTAACTACCTGAATGATGCCCTTAACTCTCCAAACTCCATGCCTGAACACAACGATCTGCGGGTCATCAGGATGCAAGTCCTTGAGTTCCCAGCGAATATCCTCGTTGTTGGCATTGTGCTCGCTCGACAGCTGCATCGCAGAGAACCCGCCGCAGTTGTTTTTCTTTCCTAGAACAACCCGCGAGTCTCCGAGGCTCGCCACGAAAAGAGTGCTTTGATAGATCACTCCAACTAAACAGCAAGTGCCAACAGTTGCCAAGTTTGGCATTGTACTCCAGAGCTCCGACACAATGGAAGCGAATCCTTCTTCGGTCGCATGAAAGGCTCTTTGAATCGTCTCTCTGGTCACAACTCCTTGTGTTTCCGCTGATATTTCTGCATAATCATAAAGCCTGAGCAATCCAAACATAAGAGAGGCTCAACCTCCTTTTCATTAAATGTACAGTGCACACTAGTCCTAGAGACGGCTTAAGCCTGGTAAAAACTCTTCCCCAATGCAAGAGCCAATGACCAGGAATGCGAAATGCAACGAGTCCCATATTATCAAACTGCATTACATTTACATCTATGATTCCCACAATTGACGCAGATAGAACCATATGAAGAGCAGGAGCATAAAGCTTAAAGCTTTACTACTATGCTAAAAAGACTGTAGCTTCAATAAAGTACTCGCATTTAGCACAACGGGAACATACACAGATTAAAAGTCAAAGTACCTAACTTTGTTGACCAATCACCATCTTCATCCACGAGACTTAAACAAAATTTTCAGAATCTAGTCAACGGATTCGTCTAGAAATATGTATTTCCCCAAAAACCCCATTCAATCTACTCAAAGCTAAAAAATGTCAAAAAAAAAATCACGAATCACAGTAATCGGATTAAACTACGAACCTCGAAAATGTTTGAAGAGATTATCACAGACATAACGGGCAGCTTCGGGACCGCCATGGCCGTCGTAGACGCCGACGAAAGTCCCGAAATTTCCGGACTCGATCTGGCTCTGGTCTTCGAGTACCTGATTGGCTTGAATCACAGCCATGGAGAATTCTCCGCCGCAGTATTTACCGAGATCACGGAACCAGAGCAACCCGTCCTTGCCTTCGCCGCCGCTTCCGCCTGAAACGCCACCCGATCCGGCCTCGGAATTATCGCAGATGTGCCCGAATGGCTTGAAGCATAGAGAAAACAGATTCATCAATGAACCTGACATTCAACATTTCTCAGAAACCCTCCCTCTAAACCCCAAAACCCTCTCCCGAAACCGTAAGACCCGGGTTTACTCCTTTACAGTTTCGATTTCAAAAAAAAAAAAGGAAAAAGGAGCGGGATTTGGGGATGAAACGAAATGGATATAGATCGAGGGGGAAGAGAATGATGGGGGGGGAGAGAGAGAGAGAGAAAACCCTAGGTCTTAATGGAAGGGAAGATGTGTAGGATAAGATGCAGGCGCATGATAAGGATGTGAAGCGCAAGTTAGCATAAGACGATGACGGACGTGTCTTGTCCGGTCGCAGAGGAACAAGGAAATTCTCGCTTGTAATTTTTTGTCTGATGAGGAGAGCGATCTTCCTTAGCTGTCCGACCATTTTCTTAGCATACACTATACATTTGTTTGCCCGAAAAAATAAAACACTTGTATATAGCTAAACAATCATTATTAACTCGATCGTAAAAATTTTAAAAGATAAAACAAAAATGCTTTACCCTATCATGTTTTTCATTCGGTAGAATTTAAATATAAACGTTTTTTTAAAAAAATGGTAATACGTAGCCTATTTATGGGGTTTAAATGATGTTTTAAAAAAAGTTATAGTAACAGTAGAGAGTGCGTGTGGTTGATTCTTCGATCAATATAAATCATAATCTAACAATCTTTTTATTGTATAATTTCTGTAGCATTGGAATGTGCATAGTCAAGATATTTAAAAGAAGGCATTAAGTTGACATATGTAGGTTTTCATTTTAAGGCAAGTAAAGTATGGTCGGTCCATTCTAAGATTTCATAATCATCTAGACCAAGAATCTGACCGCAAGCCCAAAAGAGAATCTTCACAAAGCCCTTTTCTTGA